GTCCCGCCCTACAGGTTGCTGCCACCTAAAATGGATATCTTGCGCCGTCACATATGTCAAATGCTTGATGAGGGTATCATTACACCCTCCACGTCTGCATACTCAAGTCCCATCTTCCTCATCCCCAAAGGCCAAGATGGTTTTCGTCCAGTTGTGGACTACCGGGCGCTTAATAAAAAAATCAAAATCGAGTCAGTGCCTTTGCCGGATATACACTAATGTTTACACTGGTTCAAAGGAGCCAAAGTTTTCACTTCCCTCGACCTAAATTCAGCATATCATCAGATTGGTCTGACTGAACGATCCAAGGCATTAACTGCCTTTGCCACTGACTGGAACTTATACGGATATACTCGGGTGCCTTTTGGGCTGGCCACCGGAGCGCAGGTCGTAACATGGCTCCTGGATAAGGTTTTCTCGGACATAAAGTTTAAGTTCATCTTCCACTATTTCAACGACTTAGTGGTCTACAGTGATTCCTTTGAGGAACACATTATCCATTTTCATGAGGTTTTCAGTCAGTTGTGTCAGGCGGGGTTAACTGTTAACCCAAATAAGGTTAAATTTGCTACTTCCCACTTGTCGTTTCTGGGACATATAGTCTCACCTGAGGGAATCACCGTGGACCTGAGTAGAACCGAAGCCATTAAGAATTTCCCTCCTCCCCGGGATGTAAAGGGGATTGCAAGATTCATCGGTATGGTAAATTTCTTCCATAAATTTATCCCCCATTTTGCCGAACGCGTGGCTCCCCATAACGTGCTTCGAAAGAAGGGTGAGAAGTTTGCATGGGGAACGGAGCAGCAGTCTGCGTTTGAGGATCTTAAACTAGCTATCATCAACCCTCCAATCCTCCGAACCATGGATTTTTCATGGAAATTTTCCCTTCAGACAGATGCCCGCTCTATTGCTGTGGCTGCAGTTCTGTTACAAGAGTTTGATGGGGAGCTACAACCTATTGCCTACGCATCTCGTACATTGTCCCATCAAGAGCGCAAATTCTCCACATACGAGCTGGCGTGTCTAGCGGTCCTGTTTGGTCTGGAGAAATTCAGACCATACTTGGAACATATTGAATTCGATCTGCAGATCGATAATCAGGCTCTATCGTGGTGTTTATCACATCCCCATCAACTGGGAAGGATTGGTCATTGGGTGGTAAGATTATTTTGCTTCAAATTTAATGTCCAACACATCAAGGGAAGCCAGAATTTCATTGCGGATGCTTTATTGCAAATGTATGATACTCCTGTTGATATCCCCGTATGTCCAATGGTTTTAGATTTCCCTATGCTGTTTGAAGATATTGCTATGCACCAGGACACTGATCCAGTGCTCAGCCCCATCATTCGCCAATTAATAGCTGGGGAAGAAGTACGAGGATATTCGCTGATGGAGGGCGTACTTTATTCTAAGGCCCGTTTCAACGATAAGCCGAAGGTGGTAATTCCCGAAATTTTGGTACCCGCGCTGTTTACGTATTTGCATGACACTCCTTGCAGATGTCATTTAAGAGTATGTAAGACATTATGGAAGATTCGCCAGTCGTTGATATGGAAGGGGATGGATGCCGATATCGCTGGGAGAGTTCGAGCGTGTCAGCTGTGTGGGCTCAGTAAGCCCACCCAACACGCCCAGTACGGTATGTTGACATCGGAAGTGGCAAGTCGGCCGATGGAGAAATTGTTCATCGATTTTGTGGGTAATTTTCCCCAATCTAGATCAGGTAATACTCATGCCTTGGTCTGCGTAGACGCTTTTACTAAGTTTGTGTGGATTTTCCCAGTTTGGGCAGTGTCTACCGCAACAACTACTAGGGCATTGGGTAGTATTTTCTCCACTTTCGGCAGCCCCGAGACCATTGTTTCTGACAATGCCACTCAATTTGCATCTCGTATCTTCCGCAATTTCTGTTATACCCGGGGAATTAAGCATGTTACCACCACTCCCCACTATCCTCAGCCTTCCCATGCTGAGAGGTTTAATAGGATTTTGCGTGCCGCACTAATTGCCTACCACCACCATGACCATTCAAAGTGGGATGAAAACCTTTCATGGCTCAAGTTTGCCTTTAATTCTGCTCGCCACGAATCCCACAAGGCGACCCCCTTCAGTCTCATTTTTTCTTTTACACCGAACTCGCCACTGTCTAACCTGTGGTCCATCAAGGATTTACTTCCTGACAATCCGGATGGGCTTTCCATTCAGGAGCGATGGGAGGCCGCGAGGAGAAATCTCCGGTGTGCTCATGCGGCAGTCCAGAGGAATTACGATCGCCGTCGCCAACCACCCCCGTTATCAATTGGAAGCAGGGTCTGGCTCCGGAATTATCCCCAAAGTAGAGCAACGGATAAGGTTGCCGCCAAGTTATGCCCCAGGTATAAGGGATCTTTCACCCTGGTCAAGTACACTTCGCCAGTTTCGGTGCAGTTGGCTGACAGTGACAGCCACAACAGAATCCGGGCTCACGTCTCGCAGTTAAAGGCAGCGTGAGAACTGTATGGTTAAGTTTGTAGAAGGAAGCTTGTGATGTGTCAAGATCGTTTTGTGTCCTTCTACAAACTTAAGTCTGGTATTGTCTATTCTGGTAAGCACAGGCACTAATGTGTGGTTTAAGATAAGAAGGAATGTACTCTGATGTATACATTTACTCCGAGGTTTTAATTATGTATATTTTGAGCCATGGACACATACTTTGATGTATTCCTATATACACCCATTTACTCAGAAGTATTAAAGGTGTGTTATTGTACAGTGAATGCCACAGAGAAATTGGTATATGCATATACAATATATTTAGGCATTGCTGTACACTCTATCCATGGATCTTCGGCTAGTCATGTGTCTTGTCTAACAAGTATGTTTGTGCTAGTTATTGTAAATATATATGTTAAACTGTTGATCAGCATAAGTATGTATGAGAGTGAGAGTGTGTGTGTGGGGATCCCCAGACAATTGTATAGATATTAGACCATTCAATAGATATAAGACAATTGTATAGATATTAGACCATTCAATAGATTTAAGGCAATTGTATATTCATATATTGACCTTGTTATTTTTGTTTCTCTTTTGACTATTGTAAATATTTATGTTAATTCTCATTTTCATTTATGTTTGTTAACAGATGAATGCTTGCAATGGACCATCCCTTCTTTCATTTACATGTATATCCTACTTACTTTCCTCCAGTCTTAGGCTAAAAGATATAAAGGACTATATTTCTCCCGCGAAGAGAATGCACTGCTGTCTCTGTAGCAAACGGACATCCAGAGTCGGCAGTGAGCGTCATCTAAAGAGGTGGGGCTGAACTAAACTGGTGAACGACTCGATTGCTGCAGGCTATGTTGTGACAGAGTGGGTGCCGCTTATGTCAAAGTTGTGGTCACAGACACCTATTAGCACTTTTGGTACACAGTGCGGAATGTGGCATCGTGTGTATCTTCACTACTTCAGCGTTGTGAGCACGCGCAATGGGGGACTTATGTAGGTGTGTTACGCTCACCTGATATTATTCACCATCGGTAAGCAACCCACCGCTCCTGCAATCAGTAATCAGCAGCAGCCCCCTACAACCTAGTGTAACCCCTCCCCCATGGGTGAATTTTGGAGGGAGAGAATGTAACGCCGTGTCTGCGTTACGTCAGAGGGCATCCCCCCACCCCCTTTCTTACTATCTACCCCCCTTCAATGTTCCACTTCCTGGTTCCCGTCGGCTGAGGTCCAACGCGAGTGATCCATTCTGTTGTGGGAGCTTGAACTGTTCAGTCGATTCACTCTTGTCCTGATCTGTACGATTGTGATTGGTTGATTGTCGGAGGCCTGTTACCTCCAGGGACTTAGGTTGTATTTGTATTTATTATTTAATATATATATATATTGTAACCATATGCATCCTTCGCGGATATGTCTTATTTGTTTGTACGTAACGATTAAGTTTAGCCGTGGAAATAAGATGCTCCGGAGGGATCAAGGTCCTCTGAACGGGCCTTTTGTTACGAGGGACAGAAGGGAGGTCATTGAGTCCATTGCATTCGGGGGGGGGGGGGGGTATACCTTCTGTCGTCCGTGCCTGTGGAGGTAAAGGACCTGTGGATAGAAGCTTCGAGAAGGCGTGGAGACCGGAAGGGGTCCATGCGCTTGATCATGTAGCCCCCCAGTAGAAAATTCAAGATCGCTGTAAGAAGGTGGTTTCTAAAAGCAGAGGCGGTGGTAATTGTGTAGTGGGTGAGTAGAAGTCAGTCTGTGAGGGAGTTCAAGTGAGTTAATGAGTAGTAGTGAGGCAGTGAGGGAGTTCAAGTGAGTAAGGAGTAAAGTCAGTGGAAAGCAGTCGAGTAGTCAGTCAGTAAAGAGTCAATCGGGAGGTCAGTGAGTCGAGTGAGTAAAAGATCATTTAAGAGGACAGAGAATAAGTGTGAACTCCAGTAGCATTATCAGAGAGATTGTGAACTGTTAATAAATGCTGATTTATGTAAGTGGATTTCAAAGAAATATTACGCAATCTAATGACGACGAGAAGTTTCTACATAAGATAAATAAAGTTAATTAATCAGAAACTTACGAAACCGAGTGAGATATTTCATTTCCTAAGAACCTGTGACTAATTAATAACTGATCCAGCCTGCATCCGAAACGACGTAAGCGAGCCAACACCCGTGTACCCCTGAGATACAAGACTCATGACCCTGAACTTAGCCGAGGCAATACACCGCGAGGAAGGTAGCATGTGGGGTGGGTGTAATATATATTATCATTTGATATATTTGTTATAGTGTCTTTGAGTTGGTACTTCCTACCCAAAAACCAAATTTCAGTCTTCAAGACCTTTTCACATTTCAGATCCATAGATATGCAAGTGGGCATCCTATGTCTGATGCAATATTTCCATTGCAACAGTCAGGCCCATGTTAGTATTCTCACTTCCTTGTGTTGTATCAGTACACGTTAAGGCTATAATTGTAATATTGCAAATTAGCTGATGGTGTTTCTTTTCCTTTCAGAATGTTGGATTAAATTCAACTAGTATGGCAGGAACACATTGCATTGAGGAACTTCTTGGTGAACACCGTGCTGAACTCTCAGAGTTAAACAGCGAAGAAAACATTAATTCATGCAGGATTTGTAAGAAATCATTCTCTTGTAGCAATAATCTATCGGGACACACATATGTAAGTAACAGAGAAAAAATGTCTCTTTGTGAAAAGTGTGTGAAATCGTTCAGTGATAAGAGGAGTCCATTGCAACGATCTAGATGTCATGAAGGGGCTTTTTCATGCAATGTATGCAATAAGAGCTTCACTAGTCGCTGTGGTCGAGACGCTCATATCAGAGCGCACATTGGAGAACGACCTTTTCATTGCGAAGTGTGTAAGAAAAGGTTCGCTTGCCGCTCTACCCTAAACATGCATCTCAAATTACACACTGGAGAAAAACCTTTTGTGTGTGAAGTGTGTAAGAGAAGTTTCGCTCGGCGTGATTACCTACACAAGCATCTCACGGTACACACTGGAGAACGACGATTTTCATGCGAAGTGTGTAAGAAAAGGTTCAATCTTCGCTCTACACTGCTCAGTCATCTGAGAATACACAGTGGAGAACGACCCTTTTCATGCGAAGTGTGTAGGAAAAAGTTTACTTGCCTCGCTGGCCTAACCAATCACATCAGAGTACACACTGTAGAACGACCTTTTATATGCAAAGTGTGTAAGAAAAGGTTCACTCTCCGCCATTACCTACACTCACATCTCAAAGTACACAGTGGAGAACGATGTTTTTCATGCGAAGTGTGTAATAAACTATTCCGTTATCGCCAGAACCTAACTACTCATCTGAGAATACACAGTGGAGAACGGCCTTTTTCATGCGAAGTGTGTATGAAACTATTCCGTTATCACCAGAACCTAACTACTCATCTGAGAATACACAGTGGAGAACGGCCTTTTTCATGCGAAGTGTGTAAGAAAAGGTTCACTCAGCGCACTCACTTACAAAAACATCTCACAGTACACACTGAAGAGCGACGTTTGTAATGCGAAGTGTGTAAGGAAAGGTTCACTCAGCGCTCTCGCCTACACCCGCATCTGAGACTACACAGTGCAGAACGATCTTTTTTAAAACAGAAATATAACCCGGTGTCACAGAAGACATATGAAAATGTCATATTCTCATAATGTGTCCAAGAAAGCATTCAATTATTCGGCAGTCAGAGTCAATAGATGTAGCCTGAAGTTTAAAGTTTTATAATCATATACAGGAGGTCCAAAAAAAATGTACTCACTCCTTGATAGTCAATATCTTTGGAACAAAATGACATGTAGTTACAATTCTTGTGCAGTAGTGTAGTGTAATGTTTTCTCAACAGATGGCGAAGGTCACATGAGTCAGGTGAGTGTTGAGCCGCGTGCGCACTGCGAGCAGAAGACAGCAGCTACAGTGGCTGAAAACTTGTTCTTTGAACAACACAAGGCTGTATTGAAGTAGTACTGGACGAGGCACAATTCAGAATGAACGGTACTGTTAACCACCACCATGTGTATATTGGGCTCCTGTAAATTCACACGTTCACTTGGCAAGGAAGTGAATCTGCCAGGTGTTAATGTGTGGTGTGGTCTGTCATCTGCGGTTTGATTGGTCCTTCTTTGAAAGTACCGTAACTGGTCATGTGTATCTTGATATGCTTAAGACATCGATTTTCCCAGCAATTCGACAGCTGTTTGGAGATGAGAGAGTTTACCTACAAGAAGATGGTGCTCCACCTCACTAACATCAAGATGTCAGGGCATACTTGGATGGCACTCTACCTGAACGATGGACAGGTCAAAGTGGTGCTATTGAGTACCCACCACGGTCTCCAGACCTAACACCTCATGACTTCTAGCTATGGGGAACCTTGAAGGGTGAAGTTTATCGATAAAAGCCAGCTACACTTAACGCGCTACAAGAAACCATCAAAGTGTCGTGTGCAGCCATCACACCGGACACACTGACAGCCGTAGTTCGCTCAGCAGTTTGGCAACATCGACGCTGTTTAGCCACTGATGGTGGTCATTTCGAACGCATACAATGACTCTCTCTCTCTCTCTCTCTGTGCAAGAATTGTAACTATATGTCATTCTGTTCGAAAGATATTGACTATCAAAGAGTGAGTACATTTTTTGGAGCCCTCTGTATATGTATTAACTTATGTCTTGTTTTCAAATATTTTATTCTACAGCGACGAAACTTCTAATTACAAACAATGAACGTTGGTCTTTGTGAAAAAGAATTAGACGATTTGCGTTTCTTTTTTATCCTCACGATTTGTTTCACTAAGACTAGATTTAGTAACATGCTCTCGTCAACTGCTATTTTTTTAAGTTAATTAATCTTTTGAAATTTTAATTCGTTCTCTTACACAAATATTCACATACCAAAATTTTATGTTCACTGTCATGAATTTGTTGTCAGGATTTAATTTAAAATTTTTAAAATCTTCGGTCCACATCATTGAAGTTTGTCTGTTATTTTAACGTCCACGTGTTTATAATACATCTTATTTATTTGTACATACTTCTTATACAAACGAATGCCACAGATGTTTTGGTCAGTTTGGTTTGGTTTCCAGACAGAACTTAATGGCATCTCCTCAGCATAGCAAAGATTTAATATGATATTGTGTGTGTATGTTATGGTCTGGAAGGGTGTAGAGAAATTTGTCTCTACATCATAGTATCCAGATCAAACCTAGGGCCTGTCCACCCTCCTCTCCAGTGGGTACTGATGGTTCTTTCCACATGTTTCAAGTTTCATATCACGAATCCGAGTGTTTTCCTCCATACAGTCCCCAGGTCAAGAAATCGTTGGGGAATATAGCCCCACGTCCTCAAGCAAGCCTAATAATACGTTTTATAGTTAAGACCAGGGACAGCTCTAGTTCCCCTCACCGTAGGATTTGATTGGGGGTGATACGCTGTTGTCTTAATTCTCTTAATTTTCAAAAGTTTGCACATGTTAGCAAATAGTTCACTGAGATAATTAGAACCTTTATCTGTCAAAAGTACCTGTGGAATCCCGAATTTTAACACTACTTCCTCTACGAAAGCCTTAGCTACGGTTCCTGCATCTTGTTGCTGGATGGGTACGGCTAACGTGAATTTAGACAGCTCGTCCTGAAATGTTAACAAATATTTGTTTCCCTCTGCTGTAAGGGTCAGGGGTCCAACTATGTCCAATGAACATTTTTCCCAAACTACATCCGGCGTAGTTGTGATTTGCAGGGGCATTTTAGTTTTGTTTTGTGTAATTTTGTTTTTCTGACAAATTTCACAACATCTAACATAATCTTCGATTTCCTGTTTCATACCTGGCCAGGTTACGAAAAGCTTTATTCTTTCATACGTCCTATTCATTCCTAAATGACCGCCAGTTGGGTTTTCATGCATTTCCCTGAGAATCCTCGCCTTGTCTTCTTGGCTGACTATAGGTTTATTGTCTTCGTTTTCCCTAGCGGGTGTGGTAACATGGATTCTGCTAAGTGCGTCGGCATTTTTGTTTTCCGAACCTTTCTTATAAATTACTTCATAGCTATATTCTTCTAGCCTTAACCTCCATCTTAAGAGTCTCGAACTCGGGTCCTTTACACTGAATATCCACGTGAGTGGACGGTGATCGGTGACTATGGTAAATTTCCTCCCGTACAGGTATTGTCGAAAGTGTTTGCATCCCCAAACAATAGCTAATAATTCCTTTTCTACTGTGGGATAATTTTTCTCTGCACAATTCAAAGTTCTGCTAGCGTAAGCTATGGGAAGATCCTTGCCTATGGATCCTTGACTTAGTACTGCTCCAATGGCTTCATTACTAGCGTCTGTGGTTAACACGAACGGCCGCGTGAAATCAGGGTATTGAAGCAACGGTTCTGTTATCAACAATTCCTTCAAAGTATTGAAAGCTTTATCCGTTTTGTCATCCCAAACATAGGGCGTATTCTTTTTCAATAATTCGGTCAGTGGTTTAGCTATTCTGCTAAAATTTGGCAAAAACCGTCTATAGTAGCCTGCCAAACCTAAGAAGCTTTTTAACGTCCGTGTGCATGTGGGAACTGGGAAATTCCTGACAGCTTCTACCTTTCTCTCATCAGGTCTAACACCGTCTTTAGTTATGACATGTCCTAAAAATGCTACTTCCTTTCGCAAAAACTCGCACTTATCTGGCTGCAGTTTTAAATTATGTTTTCTCATCCTGCCCAAAACTTCTCTTAATTTCTCATTGTGAACCTGCAACGTTTCTCCGAAAACGACAATGTCATCCAAATAAACCAAACATTTTATTCCCTGTATCCCGGCGAGTACAGTCGACATCAACCTAGAAAACGTGGATGGAGCTCCCTTTAAACCAAAAGGCATTCTTTTATACTCATAATGACCTTGTGACGTACTAAACGCCGTCTTTTGTTGGTCTTCCGCCCTGACTAAAATCTGGTGAAATCCACTCGCGCAGTCTATAGTCGAAAAGTATCTTGAATTTCCAAGTGCGTCTAATACTTCTGAAATCACTGGAATGGGAAAACTGTCGCCTATCGTGACGTCATTAAGTTTCCTGAAATCGACCACGATTCTCCATTTCCTTACGCCTGATGCGTCTACCTTTTTAGGCACAACCAGGATTGGTGAATTCCAGGGGCTGGAGCTTGGTGCTATGATATCATCTCGTAACATCTGTTCCATCTGCCTGTTAACTTCCTCTTTATGAATTTCCGGAATGCGGTAAGACTTAGTATTTATCCCTCTGGTTGGATCTATTGTAGGGGTGGGTATGGCATGCTCAGTTACCGTGGTGAAGGTTAGTTTGTCACCTGGTAAGTGGAACACGTCATTATACTCTTCACAGATTCTAACTAGTGACACTCTTTCCTCGCTATTTAGGTGGTCCGTTCTCAATTCCTTACGCAATTTTGACAACCTGGTCTCGTTTTCTACTAGCGTGGTAGCAAATATCATGGCCTCTGATTGAATGGGTTCATCCATTTCCTCTAACTCAACAAGGGGCGCGTCAATTGTGACGTCTTCTTCCAATGTGTTTACTATACTCGTTATACAAGTGCCTTCAATTTCCCTAGTTAAAGATTCTGCCATGTATATCCCTGGCATAATTTCCCTTCTCGATATAAAACCTTGTCCTTTATGTGTAGTGGGTAACTTCACAAAGTTTTCTGACCTGGCCTTCAATGTAACCTTGAAAATTTTGCTCTTCGCGCCACTGTCCTTAGGATTGAATTTAAGTACGACATCTTCCATCAGGATTTCACGGTTACAGTAGCTAATGACTGCATTCTTACTTTCCCAAAAATCGCGACCTAAAATTCCGTCGTATTGCAACTGAAAACTGTCTCCTATTACATGGAATTCATGCGTGGTTTCATGTGTATCAGTAAATAACTTCAAATTTACTGTACCCTTAGTTTTCATGACTCCCTTTGAAATTCCTTTAATTTCTATTACATTATCGTGTTTGAAGTCGCACCCGGGCTTCAAACTCGAGTCCCTGACGACAGAAATATCTGCGCCAGTGTCAACCAGAAATTTCAGTTTATCGGTCCTACTCAAATCGACTGTCAATGTCACCGTGTCTAAATTCGACCTCGCGTGCTTCTCACACTCATTAATTTTGAACGGAGGGTTACTATCTGAATTTAACTCTTGGCGATTCTGGCAAGTATCAACTTTAAACTGTGGACAACCATTTACTTTCTGGGTTGGGCAATCTTCGGGTTGCTCGAGATTCCCATTCCCTCGTTTCCCGACCTGATCCATTCCTTACTCGGGGCTCTACATAAATCAGCAGTGTGTCCTCTTAGACCACACTTCCTGCACGCCGGTCCTTGCCGACAAAACCTTGCGACGTGTCCTCCACGGCCGCAATTAAAACAACTTGTGGGTCTGTCTCTACCGACAGCCCTTGCATCGCGCTCCTCACGCGTGCAACTTAAAACTTCCTGAATATCAAAACAATCTGCGGGCCTGTCTCTACCGACAGCCCTTGCATCGCGCTCCTCGCGCGTGCAACTTAAAACTTCCCTTACACTGGCACTGGGGTTTCTGTTTGAGCTCAAACACCTGGCGCTGGTATGGCCTAACTTATGACACTTGTTACATCTGAGGGTGGGCCCACTAGCTGAGAAAGGCGATCTTTCTTTCATGGAGAGGATTGCGCACTCCTCTTCCAGAGAAATTTCTATAGCCTGAGACAGGAGGATGGTTTCTCCTCGACTTCTAACTATGGTCTGAATTC